GCACCCATGTAAGAGTACTGGTATAACTATACTCTCATACATTCCCCTCTTTGCTTCCATGGACGAAGTTATTTGTCTCCACACTCCTCAGTTCACCACTCACCTTTTTTCCCTCATCAATTCTATGATTCACATCATCTTCCATAGACCCATCTGCCGACATGTCCATGCCTAAATATCTGAACACATTCACCTCCTCCATACTCTCTCCCTCCAATCTGATATCTAATCTTTCATTACCTAATTTTTTTTGTTATCCTCATAACATTACTCTTTCCTATATTTGCTTTTAATTTTCTTCTTTTGCATACCCTACCAAACTCATCCACCAACCTCTGCAACTTCTCTTCAGAATCTCCCAAAAACACAGTGTCATCGGCAAAGAGCAACTGTGACAACTCCCACTTTGTGTTAGATTCTTTATCTTTTAACCCCATATCTCTTGCCAACACCCGAGCATTCACTTCTCTGTAAATATGGTGACATCACACATCCTTGTCAAAGGCCTACTTTTATTGGGAAATAATCTCCCTCTCTCCTCCGAACTCTAACCTGAGCCTCACTATCCTCATAAAAACTTTTCACCGCTTTCAATAACCTACCTCCTATTCCATATATTTGCAACTGCTCACCTATCCACCTTGTCATACACCTTTTCCAAATCCAGAAATGCCACAAAAACCTCTTTACTCTTATATAAATACTGTTCACCTATATGTTTCACTGTAAACACTGGGTTTACACACCCTCTTCCTTTCTTAAAGCCTCCTTGTTCGTCTGCTATCCTACTCTCCATCTTACTCTTAATTCTTTCAATAATATGTCTACCATACACTTTACCAGGTATACTCAACAGATTTATTCCCCTACAATTGTTGAACTCCCTTTTGTTCCCTTTGCCCTTACCAATAAAATCCCAAGCTCAGATACCCCACCCAATGACTACCTCACTGGCGACTACCCGAAACACACTGTTCCTAGCTCCGACTAACCCAACTGAAGTCTCCCTTATTATCAACAAACTAAAAAACAAGACAGGAGATTTAAATACCTTACCACCCATTATATACAAAAAAGTGTCACAGGTGCTATCACCAATCATTGCAACACTCTTTAACAAATCCATTGAATCCTCTACCTTTCCTACAGTTCTCAAAATAGCAAGGGTCACCCCGATTCATAAAGGAGACCACACAGACTTGAATAACTATAGGCCAATATCCAACTTACACCCTCTCTCTAAAATCTTTGAAAAATTAATCCATAAGTGTATCTATTCCTACCTCATCTCCCACAACATACTCAACCCCTGTCAATTTGGTTTCAGGCCTAATAAAAATACTAATGATGCTATTATCCACATGCTAGAACATATTTATACAGCAATAGAGAAAAAAGAAGTCCCACTGGGGATCTTCATTGACTTACATAAAGCTTTCGATACTTTGACCACGACTTGCTCCACATAAAACTGTCGCACTATGGTATAAGAGGGTACTCCCTCAACTACCTAAAGTCATACCTCAGCAACAGAAGCCAATATGTGTACACAAATGGGGCAAACTCTTCCGCACAGCCAATTATAGTTGGTGTCCCACAGGGAAGTGTCCTAGGCCCTCTTCTCTTTCTCATATACATAAATGACCTACCAAATGCATTGCAACTACTCAAACCCACACTATTTGCAGATGACACTACATACGTCTACTCTCACCAGAGCCCAGTCATGCTAGCCAAGACTGTAAATACCGAATTACAGAAAATATCAACCTGGACGAGGACCAACAAACTTACTCTAAACATTGACAAAACCTACTATATTCAGTTTAGTAACAGAGCTACAGATGTGTCTCTTAACATAATGATAAATGGATCACCTATCACAAAACTCACAGAGGGAAAATTCTTCGGAATCCACCTTGATAATGGACTCAAATTCCAAACACATATACAACAAATTTCCAAAAAAATTTCCAAGACCGTAGGCATACTATCGAAGATATGGTACTATGTTCCACAGTCAGCCCTCCTGGCCCTATATCACTCACTTATTTACCCCTATCTCACCTATGGAATTTGTGCATGGGGCTCAACAACAATAAACCATCTCAGACCACTAATCACCCAACAAAAGGCTGCAGTCAGAATAATAACAAATTCCCACTACAGCCAACACACTCCACCAATATTCAAAACTCTAAACCTACTCACAATACAAAACATCCATACTTATTACTGCACCTACTACATACATAGAACACTTAATGCTGACATAAACCCTCCCCTCAAACATCTCCTTACCAACCTCAACAGAACACATGACCATAACACAAGGCACAGATCACTCTTTGATGTTCCTCGTGTCCATCTCACGCTATGCAAAAACTCAATGCACATAAAAGGCCCTAAAATCTGGAATTCATTATCTGTGAATATAAAAGAAACACTGTCTGTTTATAAATTCAAGTCTCTTCTCAAAAATCACTTACTCACCCACAACTAAATAAATACTGGATAATTGTATCTCATAAATTGTATCTCATATATGTATCTCATTATTGTATCTCATAAATGACAATCTGTGACCCAATCAAACTTTGTTACTATTTAACTTTATTACCTAACAGAATACTCCATTCTAGTGATTACACAGCAACACAGTAAATGACCATATGACCCGTCTTTGTAATACTCATTTGTACTAAATTGTTATCAGTTTTACAATATTTTTTGTACCACTGAATATATCATTGCTTAGTTAATCTTAAGTTAATTTTAAGCCTGCCCATAATGCTCTGCATACAAGGGGCTTTGGCATGCTGCACTTTAAAAATTGTATTCCTTGTACTTCTCTGTATCATGTTCAAATTAATAAATAAATAAATAAATACAAAGGAACTATGCATATTCTCTGCCAATCCCTAGGTACCTTACCCTCTTCCATACATTTATTAAATAAAAGCACCAACCACTCCAAAACTATATCCCAATCTGCTTTTAACATTTCTATCATTATCCCATCAATCCCAGCTGCCTTACCCACTTTCATTCTACGTACTGCCTCACACACTTCCCCCACACTCACAACTCGTTGCTCCTCACTTCTACAAGATGTTATTCCTCCTACAAGATGTTATTCCTGATCTTCATCAACATTCAACAATTCCTCAAAATATTCTCTCCATCTTCCTGATACCTCTAACTCTCCATTTAATAACTCTCCATTTGTTCCCTAGGCTTCCTCAACTTGCTAATCTCACTCCAAAACTTTCTTATTTTCAACAAAATTTGTTGATAACATCTCACCCACTCTCATTTGCTCTATTTTTACACTGCTTCACAAATCTCTTAACCTCTCTTTTCCTCTCTATGTACTCCTCCCTCCTTGCATCACTTCTACTTTGTAAAAACCTCTCAAATGCTAACTTTTTCTCTTACTATCACTTTACATCATCATTCCACCAATCACTCTTCTTCCCTCCCACACCCACTTTCCTGTAACCAAAAACTCCCACTGAACACTTTAACACTACACTCTTAACCCTTTCAGGGTTGGTGCCGTACTAGTACGGCTTGCACGCCAGGGTTGGTGCCGTACTAGAACACGTAAATTCTAGCGCCTTCAAATCTAGCGAGAGAAAGCTGGTAGGCCTACATGTGACAGAATGGGTCTATGTGGTCAGTGTGCACAGTATAAAAGAAATCCTGCAGCACACAGTGCATAATGAGAAAAAAAACTCCGACCGTGTTTTTGGTTTAAAGCAGAGATTTTGCAGTGTACTTTCATGTGGTATTTATGGTTGTATTCTAGTTTTCTGGTCTTATTTTATAGAATGGAAAGCATATTACAGAAATTAAGATGATTTGGATTGGTTTCACAATGAAAAGTACCTTGATATTGAGCTCAAAGTAGCAGAAATGTTCGATTTTTGCCAAAGTTCAAAAGTAAACAAATCATGCCATGCATCCAATACACGTCAACTGGTGAGTCTGATATTCTTTCACAAGTGTACTGATATTATTTATACCATTTCTACACTAATGCAGTAGTCAGCATAACACTAAATCTTCTATTTTTTTTTTTTTTTTTGTGAGAATAAAAATTCAAAGTGGAAAGCAAAAGAAATGTAAGAGGAGCCTGGGGACGTGACTAATGAACAGAGAAAAATTTTATTTTAGTGCCAGGAATGTGTGTCTTGTTTATTCTGAACCCTATATTTGGAAACTGGCATCTTTTGAAATTTGTGTGAAATTGGCAAAATTGCCAATTTCTACCACTTTATTAGATAGTTGAAATCGGTAAATGGGTGATTTCTTGTGCTCATTCGATAGAAAAAGTGGAGTTCTAGTGAAATAGTTATGATTTTTGTCAACTGGTACATTGGAATTGGCCGAAAATAGGGCTCAAATTGGGCAAAATCGTTGATGCGTAAACATCGTCGAGACCGCTAACTTCGTGAGAGCATAATTCCGTAAGTTTTCCATCAAATTTCAAACTTTTGGTGACATTATGATCAGAAAAAAATTCTCTATCATTTCATAGGAAAAAATTTTATTTTTTTTTTTTTTTTGAAAAATTTTCAACCCTGAGAACAAGTTTAGGAGAGGACCTCTCAACCCTGAAAGGGTTAAACCTACCCCATACATATTCAACTCCACTGCCTATACTCTCACTAGCCTATCTATCCTCCAATAGTTGTTTATATCTTACCCTAACTGCCTCCTCCTTTAGCTTATAAACCTTCACCTCTCTCTCTTACCTGCTGCTTCCATTTTTCTTGTATCCTATCTACCTTTTACTCTCATTGCATATTGTATACTAAATTATGACAAGAACCCCAATGGAAATAAGTCACTTTGACTGTTTTGGGATATCCTAGGTAATTTACACATATTAAACTATGTATAATTGTACCTATGTGTACCTGTACCTAGATAAACTTACTAATTACCTCATTATCACCACTAGTGTACTCAGAATAAACAAAGGCAAATTGTACCTGCTGGATGGTTCCAAAATGGTTGAAATTTCTCTGGGACAAACTTGTCAGCCCTTCGGATCACAGCTCTGTATATTGCTGCCATGGTGGCTTCTACTGCCCCAGATGGTCCTCACACAGTGTAACTAGAATTAAATAGTTATACTTAATTAATGCACCAACCCTGATCCCACAGTTCTCAGCCATTACACTCGACCACATACTATGTAACTGCTCTAATAACATTACTCAGTCAGGTGTCATTACCACAGGTACAATAAGTAATCATTTCATCACTTATTATACCAGGAAAATCATTAGGGAATGGATAGGCCAGCACAGGACAATAAAAATAAACCAGAAACTACAGTAAAGAAACACTGATAAGTAGGCTACAAAATTTTGACTGGACTTCAATAACAGAGATAAATGATGCCCAGGAAAAATTCACAACCATGTTCACTACCATCCTTGATAATATTGCACCAGTGAAAGAGGTTAGGATTAAACGAAGAACTAAACCTTGGATAACTGTTGAGATACTAGATATGTAATATCAAATTCAGGGATTTAAGAGCAAATAAGCAGGATATTGCAGAACTAAATGAATTTCACAGGGTAAGGAACAGAGTGCAAAGGTTTATACAAGGAGCAAAGTCAAGTCACAATTGCTCAAAAATTGAAGAATACAAGAACAATCCTAGAAATCTCTGGCAACAACTAAAAGTGCTAGGGTACAACCATAAATCCATAGATAGATCTAACAGTGCTAAATAATGATAAGGCATGTGGTGCCCCTTGGTCTGGTGGCAAAAGCTCTCGCTTCACATGGTGAGGATCCGGGTTCGATTCCTGGTGAAGGGGTGCAAACATCGGATGTGTTTTCCTTACACTGGTTGTCCATGTTCACCTATCAGTATAATGGGTACCTGGGTGTTAGTCGACTGGTGTGGGTCGCATCCTGGGACAAAACTGACCTAATTTGCCCGAAATGCTCTGCATAACAAGCAGCTTTCTATGTAGTAGTATGTCAATGATGTCAGCTAGGCCTGTATATCTTGTATATGTACTTGCAGTAAATAATTATTATTATTATTATTATTATTATTATTATTATTATTATTATGCCATGAAACAAGAAAGTGACATATTGTTTCAATTCATTAAAGACACAGCATCAACAACACGGCCACTTGATACTGGAGTTCCGCAGGGAAGTGTCCTTGGTCCCCTGCTCTTCCTCATATACATCAATGATCTTCCAAACGTATCCCAACACCTGAAACCCATTCTCTTTGCTGACGACACGACTTATGTCATCTCCCACCCTAATCTTGCCACCCTCAACACCATTGTTAACGAGGAGCTGATCAAAATATCGACTTGGATGACAGCCAATAAACTTACGCTTAACACTGACAAAACCTACTATATTATGTTTGGTAGCAGAGCAGGAGATGCACAAATTAACATTAAGATCGACAACACTCTAATTACCAGACATAATGAGGGCAAATTCCTAGGCCTATACCTTGACAACAACCTGAATTTCATCACCCATATCCAACACATAACCAAAAAAGTATCCAAAACAGTTGGGATCCTCTCCAAGATACGATACTACGTGCCGCAAAATGCCCTTCTCACACTATACCACTCACTTATTTATCCATATCTCACCTATGCTATTTGTGTTGGGGATCAACTGCAGCAACACACCTAAAGCCAATAATAACCCAACAAAAAGCTGCAGTAAGAATAATCACTAAATCCCATTCCCGGCAACACCCCCCCCCCCCCCACTCTTCATAGATCTAAATTTACTCCCTGTTCAGTACATCCACACTTACTACTGTGCAATCTACATCTACAGGACCTTAAACTCCAATATCAACCTTGACCTAAAACGCTTTCTTGATAGTTGTGACAGAACCCACAGGCATAACACCAGACACAAACATCTCTACGACATTCCCCGTGTCCGACTAAACCTTTACAAAAATTCAATGTATGTCAAAGGCCCTAAAATCTGGAACACCCTACCTGAGAACTCTAGAACTGCAGACACATTCATCACCTTCAAAACTACCATTAGAAAACATCTTATCTCCCTGATACACCCCATCAACTAACTACACGAATACCACCTGGTGGTTCATACTTACACTCACTCACCCATTTGACCATAAACAGAAATATTAATCTCAATCTTAAAATAATGAATCCTATGATACTCCAATACTGAAACTATGTACTGTGCCAAAACAAAAGCATTCACATTGCTAAACTCACAAACTAGTATTTAGTCACTTAGCCATAATACCAACTTACCTCATAATTTGTAATATTTTAAAATAAAGAATTAAACTAAGTCTGCCCGAAATGCCTAGCCATGCTAGGCGTTCTAGTGGTACACTCTGTAATCATTATTTAACTACATGTAAACCACACAACAACCAAATTCTGTAAATTCAACATTGTAATCTTCATAGAGAATAAACTTTGAATTCTACCCAACTATTGAATCAACATTAGTCAGTGAACTGCCAGTTGTATTAAATTCCTTTAACACAGACTCCATTAAGATGAAAACTTACTACAGTAATAGAGGCATCACCCCATACAGTTTCCAATTATTAGGCGAACCTTATGACTTCATGCGAAAAGAACTAAGTAAGTTAAGCTTAACTAAAAGCACCAGACAACATAACATCCCAGCCAAATTCCTAAAAGATGGTGCCTCTGAACTGCCAGTCCCCATTGTGCACATAATAAATTTGTCCATCACCACCAATACCGTGCCAGAGGGGGTTCAAGAAGGCCAGAGTTATTCCTATCTTCAAGAAAATAGTAGGCCTGATATCAGCAACTATAGGCCTGTTAGTATACTCAAGTGTGATGTCCAAAATTCAAGAGAAAGCGATGTACGTATTGTTAAGTAGTTAAGTATCTATGTGACAAAACATTCTCCATAGTTACCAATCAGGTTTGAAGAGATCTTACTTAGATTTCGATTTAGATTTAGATTCTTTATTTCTCTGTAAAGATTACAATGTGGAGTTTACATATTATAAAGTATTAATTACAATGAGTGGTTTACATACTGTAAAATATTATAACATATTATAAAACATTAATTACAAAGTAGGCCACTAGTATGCCTAGGTATGCCTAGGCATTTCGGGCAGACTAATACTAATTCTTACTCTATACCGACACAGGTTATGGAGCATACTGATATTAGAGTTAGATAATTGTAGTGATTAACTAGATTCATAAAAGCGAGGTAGTTCAAAACATTTAAGAAATTAACAAATTGTATATTTAACTGATACAGGTCCGCCATCACAAATCCGGCAATCAGTTATTCGGTCCCTTCAGTTATTCAGCACTAATTTAGGCTAGCATAATTTCAAATTTCCAGGATCACCACACCAACCTGCTGGTACTGTTTGGTGGTGCTACTTGATGCATAAGTCATTCCAATTTCTTTTTCTATATTTATTGTTTTAACCTGCTTAGTTTTAGCCCTAGCCATGGTTCCAATGAATAAATGAAATGCTTCTCATTATGTAAAGCACCTACACAGTACATTATCCATTAAAGATAAGGTGGCTTTGAAGCCACTGTCAGTTGCCATGAGCTCAGTCTCATGAAGCAGGAGAATATGCTTTATTACACTAATATCAATACTACAGCTTATTTGCCTATCACAATTGATCTAATATGACATAAGAAACAATATAAATAACATAAAACATGTTAAATACTCCAGAATAAATAATATTTGGCATAATACCGGGCAGTTCGACGGAGGTATGAAGAGGATATGGTATACAAATACCATCTTACTCCTAAACCAATATTATTTCATAGTGACTATCTATCCATTTAACTTGTTTACCATTACTCAATTGTAGTCCCTTATATATTTTTTGTCCTTTATTTTAGCTCTATATAACTACCTTAGATCACATATTCGCAATTGTTAAAACTAATCAAGGTGCTATTCTCAGGTGCTAAAGTTAATAAGTTCACTATTTTGCCATTATTCTCCAAAGCTCATTTATTTGATTACCACTTTATTGTTCACCACAACTTATATTAGTCCCTTTTATATTATAATTTTATATTATAATTCTAACTTTAAAGAATTACCTTTAAAGTACTGCCTACTATCATATTCCCAAGCTCCATTATTTGATCATCACTTTATTTGTTCACCACAAATTATTTTAGTCCCTTTTATATTGTCTCCTTTATTTTAGCTTTAAAAAACTACCTTAGCTCATTATTTTTTACATTTGTTAAATAATTCAGGTGCTATTTTTTTTTAGCTTTAGAATATTTACTTTATTTTTTACTTAATTCTAACTATAGATTCACTACAAATCTTATGATTACAAGCATTGATCCTGATACCAACTTCTTATTTAATGACTTAAATGATTCAAACAGTTACTGTAATTACTACACAGCAGAACAATCAAAGGCACTTCTCAGAGCCAACAACAACATAACTATCTTTAACTACAATATCAGATCTTTAAGCAAGCATTATGATGACGACCTAGCATTACTAAATTCCTTGCATGCCAATATGTCCATTATTACACTAACTGAAACCTGGCTAAAACCTGATACTACAGATGTCTATGCCATTCCTGGTTACACAGCCATACACAACTGTAGGCCAGACCAACAAGGGGGTGGCACAGCTATATACTACTCAGACCAACTAGAATGTATCACTAATACTTGCACAAGGGATGAACATGGGGAATATATAATAGCTAAACTCAAATCCAAATACCTACAAAAACCTCTCACAGTGATAAACATCTACAGACTTCCACAATCAAACATTAGCCAATTTAGTCAAAACCTAGGAAGTATGATAACTGATGCATGCATGAACAAAGATCACTTACTACTCTCAGGTGACTTCAATATAAATCTCCTGCAAGACCAGGACCCACACGTTACTGAATTCACAAACACAATGAGTAACTGCATGTTGCTACCAACAGTAACAAAACCTACAAGAGTTACAGAGACTAGTGTTTCCCTACTTGACCACATCTGGACCAACACCATATCCCCTTTAAAATCAGGCATAATTACAGATAATACCACAGACCACTAC